ATTAATTCCTGGTGATCAAAGTTCAATCTGCAAGGGTATATAAACTTCGGCGTGCCAAATTGAGCTTCCTTTCTTGTTTTATTATAATTTTATCGTGTTATTGCGTTCTAAATTTCATTAAAAATCAGAGAAACATTAAAGAAACACGACGTGGGTACTTCGGAACAGTTCCCCAGATTATGAATTTTTTTGTATCTCATAAAAAGAATTTACACCGCAAACCAAACTTTTTGGAGGACCTTTAGGGGATTCGTTATTACTCGTACACCTATATACAGACTTTGGCATCAAACGCCGTTTACATTAATAAGCAATTTTATCAGTTTTTTACCATATTTGTTTAAAGTGTCTCATTTTGCAATGAATTAACTTTACTTTGCAGTGTACACATTGTTAAAAAGTTGGGAAGGTCGCCAAAGCCCTCTATACCAAAAATATATTATATACTTTTGCATTTTAGACTTACCTGTATGCTTCCGCCAGTACCGGGTTTTGTTTTATTGCCAAAGTAGAAAACTGTGCTGACTTATCAAGCCTTCTGCATTGAAAATGAATAGATGACAGTAGTAATAAAACTCCCGTGTTTGTACTGTCCTGACGCCATAGTTGCATACAATGCTTTTCTGCACTTTCGTAGTCCACTGCTTGGTACTCTCTATGAGCCAATTCTAGTAAGCCTAAAATGGAAAAATATGTATGCTCATTTTCAGGGCAGAACTCCTAACTTATTATGGGAAAATACATATGTACTCTTATCTGTTATATTCATAATAACGAATACCACTTTTAATTGAAGAACTCAAGATCGACCCAATCCAAATTTTAGATTCCGTTCGAACTATTTATCGGTGAATTGGTTTTCTCATTTTTCACTACTTTTTTAATAAATGGCGGACCATTTTGTTACAAAGATTTTGATTTCAAATTTAATAATTTAACCTTGAATTACAGATGGAATGTTTTCTCAAAAGATTCAAAGATTTAAACAAGGAATATTGTCAAGCGTATTTAAGGCAGATGCAATTCTGAAATTTATACAGTACATGCAAGCAACGCTGAGTGATTTTGCTTGCCGTTTTTATAAGTCAACCAAATTCATTTCAATAACAGTTAACGGCCATTGGAATCAAACATACCGTAAAGTTTGTCACTTTTTATTTGTTAAAGGATGTTGCACATTGGGATTCAGAACTTCACGATAATTATACTTTAAAGCATTCACAACAAATACGAATGCTATTTGCCATTATATTTTTAACATGTAAGCCATCGTCATTCTGTGGACGGAGATAACTTTAACTTAAACTGCGAACCGCAGATCTAACAAGATCTAATTTATATTAATAAATATTTTTATAGAGGGATATTTCAAATAATACAGCTTGGATTTTTTCTCTATTTCTTGTATTTAAATTACACTTAAATACCACTTGGCTTTTGTAAGTCAGTTGTATCCTAGGGCTTTATTATTAAACATAGTAATAACCAGTTGGGCGGTTCGCTAGAAAGGGAATTAATCATTCATAATTGTAGATTACCCAAAAAGCATCCCCGCATATCCGGACCTTATTTTGGCGAAAATTACCGGGTGTGCAAGGTGACCCCAAGTACTTATAATCTCTGGAGAGAAAGCTCCTAACCATTTCGAATAGTTTCGGGTTTATCAACGGCTTGGTTTTGCAATATAGCCTTGCATGCCTCACCTTATCAAATGCCTGCTGCATGTCCTGATAGGCAGACACCACGTATTGCTTGGAGTGAAACCCTTTGAGAATATACTTAACCACACGCAATGTAGCCTTGCATGCCACACCTTATCAAATGCCTGCTGCATGTCCTGATAGGCAGACACCACGTATTGCTTGGAGTGAAACCCTTTGAGAATATACTTAACCACACGGTATAGCTGCTCAAGGTGCCGTGCCTGAGTATAACCTGAAATCAATGGAAAGCACGTAGGGCTTCCATTTGCTAGAATTTGAGCGGAAGAATTTGTTTAGCATCATGTAGAGCGCTCCCTCTACCGTCGGGTCTGTAGCTAGCCCACAGTCGACGGTTTTGTATTGAAGTCCCCGCCTAAGAGGAACTTAAAACCCAAATCTAAAAGGAGTTGATCGAATTCGAACTAAAACTAGAACTTTTTATTTACAAATGACGGAGATATAGCCAATCAAATAAGGCATTTTTTTAGCGAACGGTCATAAGCTGCTCGACAGGACATTTTTTTATCCGAAACCCGAAAATTATTGTTTTTTTAACCATATAAATATAGCTATAGCATGAAAAATATATAACTTAAAAAAATCATATAGAAGAAATAATACGTCATGCCGTAGAGAATTTTAAAGAGAAGCTGTGTAAAATTTTTGAAGAGAATCGGTCGAGTATTTTTTGAGAAATGATGTACCCCGATCCAAAATGTAGCTTTAAGAAAAAGGCAAAAGAAGATAAATAAGAAAGGAAGCAAACTTCGGCACGCCGAATGGATGTATGGTACCTATATGATATAGTCGACCGATTTTCATAAAATTTTACAAAAAATGTAAGACTCATATAAAATGGCTATATCACAAATTTGACGAAAATTTGTTGAAAACTGAAAAAGTGATTTTTAATTGTATTAATTTCTTGATCGTTCCTATGGGAGCTATTTGTTATTATAGTTCGATTTTCAAATCTTACACAAAATTGTAGAATATAATAAAATGGCTTTATCTCAAATTTAATCTGTTGAAAACTGATAATAATAATTTTTTTTTGTAAAAATTTTCCAATCATTCTATGGCAGCTATATGATACAGTCGTTCGATCCGGACTGTTCCGACATATATACGAGTGAGAGTACATAGAAGGCTAACTACAAGTTTCATTCAGACTAGACTAGACTAGACTGGGAGACTAGTTTGCGTAGAAACGGCCAGACGGACAGAAGGACAGACGGACATGGCTAGATCGACTCGGCTGTTGATTCTGATCAAGAATATGTATACTTTATATGGTCGGAGGTGGCTCCTTCACTGCGTTGCAAACTTTTAATTGAAATTATAATACCCTGCAAGGGTATAAAAATACAGCGAACAAAATAGAACTAGGTGTGTCCTTAAAAGTTCACCACTTAATAGCTTTTAAGCAACAAATCAACCGGAAGACAGAGGTGTCTTGTTTGACCATATTATGTGTTTTGATTGTCACGTATGTATAACATTAGGAACAATCGAGAAATTAATTCAATTAAAAATTATAAAATTTTCAGTTTTCAACAGATTTTCATCAAATTTGAGGTATAGCCATTTTATATTAGTGAGTAAATTTTTGAAATTTTATCAATCAGCTACCATATAGCTCCCATAGGAACGATCGAGAAATTAATACAATTAAAAATTATAACGTTTTCAGTTTTCAGCAGATTTTTATCAAATTTGATATATATCCATTTTATATCTGTCTTAAATTTTTTTTGTCAAATTTTATGAAAATCGGACGACTATATCATATATGTGCCATACAAACGATCGTTAGATGTGGAGCAAAAATGCAAATCTGTGAATGTAAAACTGCAAATATAATATGTATAGGTTAATGAAATGAAAGCAGGTATTATTTCATTGTTTTTTAACATAAATATATTATTATATTGTATGCATTCCTAGTCATCGAAGTTCTATCTGCAAGGTATATAAACTTCGGCGTGCCGAAGTTAGCTTCCTTTCTTGTTTTTATTTCATTTTGTTGTGTCGTTTATTTACTCATGAAATGACAGCTAGCAACTATAATAATAGAGGTCGTGGAAGTTATATAGGAAATAACCGTGGTGGAAATAATAATAACAATAACAGTAATAATAACAGAAATAATAATAATAATAATGCCCCAAAAAAAAAACCAATAAAGACCGTTAAGATACAAAACCCAGTAAAAAATACGGTTCACACTATCAACCTTAACTTTAATCTCTTTGTTTCATTAAAAAACGAACAAACAAATAAATAATATACATTACTAGTTGATACAGGTGCAGACATCTCTTTAATGAAAGAAACTTCAGACTCATTTAACAAAGTTGAAAATAAAAATATTACCCAAATACCAGGTGTTGGTGAAGGGACAACCAATTCAAAAGGATTAGTATCAATAGAAATAAAAATTGAACCATTAGAAGACTACGAAATAGTTAGTAAAAACAAATAAACATGAAAACAATACAGATATTTTAAAATAATTGAATAAAAATGATCTTTCACAATTTAAAGCAATACTTAATGAATTATGTACAAATATATGGATATATTCGGAATAGAAACAGAATCCATATTAACAAATAATTCTTACAAAAAAAATAAGGATGAAAAATGATAAACCAGTTTATATTAAAAATTGTAGAATTCCTCACAGTCAAAAAGAAGTAGATAAACAAGTCGAAGAACTGATTAAAGATTAGGTAATAGAACCATCAGTCTCAGAATATAACAGCCCATTATTAATCGTACCAAAAAATCACCACCCAATTCATCCGATAAAAAATGGCGTTTAGTAATTGACTACCGCCAAATTAATAAGAAATTCTTATCCGATAAATTTCCATTACCAAGAATAGACGATATTCTAGATCAACTATGCAGAGCAAAATACTTTTCATGCTTAGATCTGATGTCAGGATTTCATCAAATTGAACTCGAAGAAAACTCTCGGAATATAACGTCATTTTCCACGAGCAATGGCTCTTATCGTTTCACGCGATTACCTTATGGCTTAAAAATAGCGCCAAATTCCTTCTAAAGAATTATGTTGATTGCCGGACCTAGGTCTTTCTCCACCTCTCCTGCCTTCACGGTGTTAGCATCCAACAGCCATTCCTATATATGGATGAACTAATTGCCATCGGTTGTTCAGAAAAGCATATGATTAAAAACCTTACAAACGTTTTTGATTTATACAGAAAACAGAACCTTAAATTGCACCCAAAAAAGTGATCTTTTTTCAAACACAAAGTAACATTCCTTGGACACGAGTGTACTGACAAAGGTTTTACCAGACAACAAATATGATGTCATAGAAAAATACCCAGTCCCAACGGACGCAGACAGTTCTAGATTATAACAAATTTTTCCGATTTTTCACGACATATAACGCGATTATGGAAAAAGAACGTGAAATTCGAATGGACAGATCAATGTCAAAAAGCCTTCGAGTACTTAAAAACACAACTGATGAAACCAACATTACAACAGGACCTCGATAGTAATAAAGAATTTTGAATAACAACGGTTGCAAGTAAACAAGCATGCGGAGCAGTCCTAACGCAGGAACATAATGGAACGCATCTACTAGTAGCATACGCATCACTTTCATTTACAAAGGGAGAAAGTAATAAAAACACGACAGAACAGGATCTAGCAGCTATACATTAAACACTTTAGACCATATATCTACGGAAAACACCTTACAGTAAAAACACACCACAGACTACTAACATATCTATTTTCTATGACTAACCCAAGTTCAAAGTTAACCAGAATGAGACTTGACTTAGAGGAATATGATTTTACCGTGGAATATCTTAAGGGAAAGGATAACCAAATCGCTGATGCATTATCGCGAATAACAATACAAGACTTACAAAATATCCAAAAGGATTATAAGATTCTGAAAGTCACTACCAGAAATCAAAGTAGAAAAA